CAAGCACAGGCAGACAGAATGGCAGGCAGAGGCAGAGGGAGAAGCAGGCTCCCTGATGAGCAAGGAGCCCGATGTGGGACTCGATCCCAGGACGCTGGGATCGTGACCTGAGCCGAAGGCAGCTGCTTAACCAACTGAGCCACCCAGGCGTCCCTGAATGACATTTTTTAAAAGGGTACTTTTCGGATTTAACCACTATGTTGAATACCATAATTATGACATGTCACTAGTACATCTTTCCTTGTAATCTACTCCAGAACTTCCTTCCCCATAATCCTCTGTGAGGAAAAAAGTCCTTGTGTTTATCCATTGATTTAACTTCTAATGATTTCCCTCTTCCTCTAGTAATCACTACCCAAGCTTTGACCTCTGGAATCATTCCAACCTTCCCCATGTCCCGACCCACTCCCTAATTTCTACTTAGAAATATCACACCAGCTGTCTGCCTGCTGTGGAGGTAACAACAGGTTATTTATGCTCCCAGATATTCAAAGTAGGTCAAGAATATAAAAAACAGACTGTGAGTCCTTTGAGGGAAAGGGCTGTGTCTTGTTCATTGTTAGAACCTCTCAATATTAAGGAGAGTACCTAGCACCCGGGAAGTGCTCAAAAAATATTTTGACCCACCATTAAGCGAAGGCCCATTCACAAAAAGAATTAAGTCAACAAATAGCCAAGACACTAGAATATACTTGGACATAAATGTATTTAAAAGGCAATTTAAGCTCAACTTACTCTTGATGTCTAAACCAGCCTGTCTTTACAATGACTAGAAGGTGAATTTTAAGAGCGAGTGATGAAGCTATGACCAAAAGCCAAAACCTTGAAATTTAAAAATCATACTATTTTTTTTTTAATTTTATTTATTTGACAGAGAGAGATCACAAGTAGGCAGAGCAGCAGGCAGAGAGAGAGAGAGGAAAGCAGGCTCCGAGCAGAGAGCCTGATGCGGGGCTTGATCCCAGGACCCTGAGATCATGACCTGTGCCGAACGCAGAGGCTTAACCCACTGAGCCACCCAGGTGCCCCTAAAAATCATAGTATTTTTTTAAAAATTTTTTTTCTGAAAAATTATCTTGGGAGAAAAAAGCTGATTCAAGACCAAGAGCAATTTATCATCCAATCAATCTCTAGTTAAGCAGTCTACAATTAGTCAGCTCAGGAAGGGACTCCTCACTGTGCACAGTGTAGAATGGAGGGCTATACAAAGTAACTAAGGAATGTTTACACACCTGTATCTCTTCATAGGAAAATGCCTCTGATATTTCTCGGTACCCACTTCATACCATCATTATGAGGATTAAATGAGTTAATATTTGTAACGCACTTAAAGTAGTACCTGGCACATAGTTAGCACTGTATTAATGTTTATTAATAAAGTAGCCAAATCAGCTTCCAATTACCTTCATTCATACATTAGAGACCTACAATGCCTAAGGAAATTACCAGGTTTAGGGACGCCTGGGTGACTCAGTGGGTTAAAGCCTCTGCCTTCGACTCAGGTCATGATCCCAGGGTCCTGGGATGCAGCCCCACATCAGGCTCTCTGCTCGGCAGGGAGCCTGCTTCCCTTCCTCTCTCTCTCTCTCTGCCTGCCTCCCAGCCTACTTGTGATCTCTGTCTATCAAATAAATAAATAAAATCTTAAAAAAAGAAAGAAAGAAAGAAAATTACCAGGTTTAGAGAGAAGTTCCAATTGTGCAGTATTTTAAGTCTGTGGCTAGAAAGGCGTCCTAGAGAATGTTTTATGTAAACTCCTCGTCTCATGGTAAAATTAATCCTATACCCATTTCTTGAGAAATTCATGGGTTACAAAAGCTTTCCCATCTAATTCCTAGGTTTGATCCTCACAAGAGCCTTGAAAGATGCAGAGCAGGTATAATTAACTCCACTTACAGATAAGAGACAACTGAACAAAAGAAGTTAAGTGACTCGCCCAAGGTCATACAGTAAGTGAAAAAGGCCTGGGCTAGAATCCAGGTCTCTTGATGGCAGGTCCACACTTCTGAAAACATGCTGCAACTTGGGTCCTGGGCTTACTGGGGTCACATTTGGAAACAATAATTCTAAGATCCTAAATGGAGATTATGCAGCTAACACGAACTTGGAAAGTTAAGCCCATTCTGTTAACTGGAACTAAAGGTAATTAATAGTTGGCAAAACACCTACGTACAGTGAGTTATAGTATAAAGTGCCATGACGACACACATTCACAGAGCACCACACACTGCCCAAGCCAAATGTTCAGAAGTCTTCAAAGGGACAGTTCTCCAAAATAGGCCATTCGTGCAAAGATTAGCAGACCCAGAAAATACGAATGTCAGTGTAAGAGAGAAAAGGCTGCCGCTGTCCTTACACTAAACCCTGAAGGGAAGGAAAGGCTCGCCCCAGCCGACGGGGAAGGCATGGAGTATAACAAGGCTCGGAGGGATTACACGTAGGTAGCAACTCCCGGGGACGAACAAGAGCCGACCATCCCAGCCCGTGAATCATCTCGCATCCAGCCGGCTGCGTCCTCCCCAGGGGCTCGCCACCCCCGGGAAGCCATCTGAAACGCGGTGGCTGAAGGTGAGAAGCGGCTGGCGGCTGTGTGCAGGGTTCCCAACAGCCGCACAGAAAGGCTGGCTGGTGGCAGAAGTGGCACCGCATACCAGCACAAGGCGTTATTCCAAGCGCCCGTGCCCACGGGAGGGACCATCTCATCGCGCCAATCGAGCATCTCCCGCGGCCAGGATTTCTCCCAAACCCAGCCGGCGGGCGGGGCAGCCCTGACCCAGGCCCTCTTCCCAGTCGGAAACCCGCCGAGCCGCCCGCCCGGAGAGCGGGGCAGCGGCCCCAGAAGGCCCCCGAGGCAGGCCGCCCTCCGCCGCCGTCGCCCGAAAGAGGAAGGCGCCTCTGCGGCAGGCGGGCCGGGCGGGGGATTTCGAAACACGGGGGACCGGGGTGCTGCGGCCGCCGGGCCCTCGCGCCACCGCCTCGCCCCGCCCCAGCCTGACAGCCGGCGGCGCCCGGCCGCGCGGCCCCCTCCCCACGGCGCCGCCCGCCTCACCTTTGTGTAGAGCTCGGACGCGGCCATGGCGGGGCCCCGCGGCGCCGACGCCCCCCGCCTGAGCGGAGGCCGCACCGAGGTTGGGCGGCCGCCCGCGCCGACTAGGTAGCGCCCAGGCAGCCGCCGGCAGGGAGCGGGGCAGGGCCGGGCGGGGCGGGGACGCCGGGCGGGGCGGGGCGGGGCGCCTCAGGCGCGGGCGGCCCGCGGGGGCCTGGCCATCACTGCCCCGCGCGCCGCGAGCAGGCGCGAGCGCTCCGCGTGCCCGGGGTCCTCGGGGTCGCCGCCGCAGCCGCCTGAGCGGCCGGTGATGCTGCCGCCGCTGCTGCCGCCGCCGCCGCCGCCGCCGCCCTGTGCATTGTGGGAGCAGGAGGAGGCTGCGCTCCAGCGCTACGCCCGCGGCTGCCCCCTGCGCTCGCCAGCGCACGCGGCCTCCCCTCGGCGGTTGGCCCCGAGCATCCTCCGCCTGACCGCGTGCGCGGCCGCCGCCGAGGCCCCGAAGCCCGACCCCGATCTCTCTTCCGCGGCACACCTGCCCCGGGGGTGCGTCACACCCAGGACGCCCCTCTCTCCTAAGCGAGCCCTGAACTGCGCAGTACGGCCCAGCCACCGAGAGGCGCGGCGATAGCTGGTGGCACTGCGCGTGTCCAGGTAAATCACTGGGAGTCTCCAGCTGCTTTTCCTCTTCTTCTGAGCATTTCTAGGGAAAGGGTTTGGGAGGAGGCTTCTTCCAAGTCAACAAAACGACCTAGAACTCCAGAAGAATCCTGTTAGGAGCAGCGGTCTGGGAGCTGGGCAGGGAGGACCAGTAATCTGAGATAGAAGATCACCAAGTTCACCCTAAAAACCTGGGCATCTGAAACAAGATGCCCCTAGGGGGAGACCTAGGTGCCCACCTCTCCTAGACCTATATGTCCGCAAACGTATACCACTACCCTTTTGCCCCAGTCTTCTTCCTCCTCCTCTTCTGAGTGATGATCGATTCCATGGTGCCATGGAAGCTATCCAGAAGCCACCCAAAAATTGCAGAGGACTTTTGTGGAAAGTCCATACTGCAAATGAATTCTGTAGATTACGCAACTGCCTTCAGCTCAGGTCATGTTCTCAGGGTCCTGGGATCGAGTCAAGCGGTGGGCTCCCTGCTCAGTGGGGAGTCTGCCTCGCCCTCTCTCTCTCCCCCTCATACGTCTCCTCCCTGCTCATGCTCTCTCTCTCAAATAAATAAAATCTTAAAAAGAAAAAAAAGAGAGAGAAAGAAAGAAAGAAAAGGTCAAAGTTGTCTCAGGAGTGGCATTCAATCTGCTCACCCTTATCCTTGCACATCAAGCACAAGAACGTGGTCTTTCCACCTCTGACCCCATACTATCTTCACCTTCTACCTGCTCTGCACCCGCCATACTTTCACTCCTGGTTGACTAAACTCCTTGTTTTGTTCATCCTAGCCTCTTATTTCTTTGAACTCTCAAGTGCCCTTCCTGGCAATCTGGGATGGTTTCTATCAAGACCATGTCTCAACACTGGCCCCTTGGTTGTGTGTGTATCCAGCATGTGTATGTGAAAGAAGACCATCGCTATGGGGGGTGGGGACACTTGGCACCAGTCCTCACTCCCTGGAATTTAAGCCTGTCCTCCTCTTGCTCACTGCTCACAATCCCCTCAGAGATGTCATTGGTAATGGCTACAGAGTCCAAAGACCCAGAGTTCTCTCTGTTCCCTCCAATTCTAAAATCACATCTCTTTCATGTTTTGGGGTCCCACCCCTTCTTTGTCCAGACATAAAAAGGGGAAATGTGCAGCTATGACCAGTACAACAAAAGAACACTGGATTAAGATTTTGGAGGCTTGAATTCTACCTCTTATAATTTCTTCAAGCCTTATGTAAGGTGGTAACCACTGCTTTCTCACCCTCAGATAATTCTTACCTCTCAGGACTGTTGGGAAATGCTGGTGAACGAGTTTAGGGCATACACCCCAGGGTATACTGCTTTGGCATAGAGTTTGGAGGACTTGAAAAACAGCAAATACAAGAAAAAAACACTTTGATTTCCTTCTCTTTTTTAAAAGCAGGAAATGAAAGATGTCTTCCCTATACCAGAAGGAAAGTAACATTGTTATCATCAAGGAGAAGCTGAGATCAAAAGAATTCTGTACCAACAGACATTCGTTAAAATAATTCTTATCTTCCCTTCTCCTGCCCGCATAGTTTAGTCACTTTTCCACAATTGCCTCTCTTTGTTTGACCCAATGTACAAGCAAGCAGATTTTGTCATTTCTCTGGGTATTCATTTCATTATGAATGTTCCTGTGTCACAATAAAACAATATAAATATATATGTCGCTTCTCCTTTTAATCTATCTTTGTCAGTTTAATTTTCAGACCAAGCCAGGGACCTTTAGAGAGTTAAGGAAAACTTTTACTTCCCCTATTTGGACAAAAAGTTTTTAAAAAATGTCTTATGGATATCAGTGTCTTTTTTTTTTGGACCAGAAGAAAAAGTTGGGAGGATAAAAAAGTAGGCCATAGTAGGAGAAAAGTAGTAGGGATGAAGAAGAGGAGAAGGATTCTCTACCCTTGACTTGACTTTACCTCATTCAGAAAAAGAATAGACTTAAAAAATAAACCAAGGGACACCGGGGTGGCTCAGTCATTAAGCATCTGCCTTCAGCTCAGGTCATGATCCTAGAGTCCTGGGATCGAGCCCCACATCGGCTCCCTGCTCGGCAGGAAGCCTGCTTCTCCCTCTCCCACTCCCCCTGATTGTGTTCCTTCTCTCAATGTGTCTCTCTCTGTCAAATAAATAAATAAAATCTTAAAAACACACACACAACAACAACAACAAAAAAGTGACAAGGAACCCTGATGGCTGCCTCCCTTACCTTAACCATGTATATTCACAGTCCCAAGCAATTCGTCATTAGTGAAGTATGGAAACCAGCAATAGTTACAACTCTCCAGGATTTAGGATGTCCCCCTCCCAAAAAGTAGCCAGATGTCATTGTATATTTTAAGTCAATAAAGTTCTCAATTATCACTTTATAATTGGGAAAATTTTCATGTAGGTTATCTTCAAATAAAAACAATGTCCAAGCTAATGTGAAAAATCCCTCTCCTCCAAAGCATTCATGGGTATTTTTTTTGTAACCAATATTGAGAGTTTTGATGTGCCAGAAACTGTTTTGCATGCTGAGGATTTATGAATGAACAACACAGATAAAATCTCTGACCTCATGGAGCTTACATTCTAGTCAGGGAGACAATTATAAAGGTAGAAGGTAAAGATGACAAGTATTCATTTGCTGGGGCTGCCGCAATAAGTACCACACACTATGGCTTAAACTGTAATGTGCCGTATGATCTGGAGGCTAGCAGTCTCAGATCAAAGTGTTGGCACTGTTGGTTTCTTCTGGAAGATGGGAGGGAGACTCTGTTCCAGGCCTCTTTCCTACATCTGAATTGTTTGCTATCAATCTTTGGCATTCATTGGATTCTGTTGCCCGCCCCAGTCTTGGTCTTTGTGCTCTTCCCTTTGCATTCTCCCTGTATGCATGTGTGCCTGTGTCTAAATATCACCCTTTCTCATATATGTGTGTGTGCGTGTGTGTGTGTGGCACACGTACATATATATATATATATATTTTTTTTTTTTTAAGATTTTATTTATTGGGGTACCTGGGTGGCTCAGTGGGTTAAGCCTCTGCCTTCGGCTCAGGTCATGATCTCAGGGTCTTGGGATCGAGTCCCACATCAGGCTCTCTGCTCGGAAGACAGCCTGCTTCCTCCTCTCTCTCTCTGTCAAATAAATAAACAAAATCTTAAAAAAAAAAAAAAAAGATTTATTTATGACAGAGAGATAGCAAGAGAGAGAACACAAGCACGGGGGATCTGGAAAGGGAGAAGCAGGCTCCCCAGTGAGCAGGGAGCCCAACATGGGGCTCGATCCCGGGACACTGTGATTATGACCTGAGCCGAAGGCAGACGCCCAACGGCTGAGCCACCGAGGCACCCATAAATTTTGCCCTTTTAAAAGGATACAGTCATGTTGGATTAGGGCCACCCTAATGACCTCATTCTAACATGATCATCTACAAAGACCTTATTTCCAATTAAGGTTTCATTCACAGGTACTGGGGGTAGGAAGGATTTAAGCATCTTTTGGGGATGAAGAGGGGGGACACAATTCAACCCGTAACTGTGGGCAATGGAGAAAAACTAAACAGGGAAGACAGAACGTCAGCAATTTTAGTAGGGTGTCCACTGTTTTATTCACATTGAAAAAAATAACTTTTTGGAGGGTCTATTTGTGCTAGCACTTGAGATAATAAATAAATAAAGATAGAAATGAATGAAATATGATCCTTGCCCTGGGAGAGCACTGTAATGAGTAGCTGCAGGAATAGGGGAAGGGGCAGTCCATGCTGCATGGTCATTAGTGATTCTAATTCTTTAAGATTAACCCAAATCTAGGGGTGGCTGGGTGGCTCAGTGGGTTAAAGCCTCTGCCTTCAGCTCAGGTCATGATCCGAGGGTCCTGGTATCGAGCCCCGCACTGGGCTCTCCACTCAGCAGGGAGCCTGCTTCCTCCTCTCTCTCTGCCTGCCTCTCTGCCTACTTGTGATCTCCGTCTGTCAAATAAATAAATAAAATCTTAAAAAAAAAAAGATTAGTCCAATTCTAGAGGCAGAGACAAAGCACTGTTCCTGGTTAATTAGTTGGCATTTACATATCCTAATATTTAGTATTTCAGAGGATTAGATACTTAAATAAGTATCTATGAGGTAGATACTAGGCAAGAATGACATTTGAGTGGGTGAGGAAGAACACTAAATAGTTCACTGAAAGATCTAAATAATGTTATGTATGGGAGGCCATTTATTTATTTTTTTTTAAAGATTTTATTTATTTATTTGAGATAGAATGTGCGAGAGAGAAAGAGAGAGCACGTGCACAAGCATGGGGAGCAGCAGGCAGAGGGACAAGCAGACTCCCTGCCAAGCAGGGAGCCCAATGCGGGGCTCCATCCCAGGACTCCAGGATCATGACCTGAGATGAAGTCAGACGCTGAACCAACTGAGCCACTCAGGTGCCCCGGGGAGGCCATTTATTATCAAAGGATATATAAGGGAACAGCATGAGGGAAC